GCAATTTCAACAGTGAAGTATTGCGATGATGACTGACCAAGAAGCACTGGCTAGAAAACTTGAAGACTGGCTAACTATGTCTCCCAAAAGCTACTTTTTGTACAGAACCAGAGACGTCGTCATTAACGACAGAGATAAACCAAGATCTAGAGCTGCTGGGGAGACCTTTCTCTTTTTTCATCAAGAGCCATGGCAACAACGAATGCTTGAAAGATAACGTAGTGAACTGGCCTTGATGGACGCCACGTACAAACCTACAAGGTACACAATTCCTCTCTTTTTCGTTTGTGTAAATACTAACGTGGGATATGAGGTCGTGGCTGAATTTGTCAGTCAGAAGATCAAGCCTCTTACGGTTCTAATTCCCCACCCCAGCCAGGGAAGGTTCAAATTCGCCACGAGAACCAGGGAAGGATATAAATTCCCCAGCCCCGCGGATAAGGAGACAGTCAAATGTCTGTGGTTTGCTGGGTTGGGGGTGGAGGATGGTAAAGATTCGAAACGATCGACGCATAACTGTGTAGCAAATTCTGGGAAATCATTATTAAGATCAGAATATGTTGTTACGTGTTTATAAACATTTTAATAACGAAGAGAGTGAGAGATGAAAAAAGGTTTGAAATTCGGCTGAAAAATTTAATGGAAACCTGAGACAAAATGTGAGTAGGATAATTTTTGAAGCTATATCTGTTTGACATAATTCCTTGTTTAGAAAAAAGGCTCAGACTAAGAAAATCTTGTCCTTCGGGTGACCGAGATTTTCTTCTTATGAAACTCTAAATACTCTGAAAAAGGTAAATCACTTTGAGTCGGCGATAATCGGTCAAGAAGTCAGGAGTTCAAGTTAATAAGGGCAAATAAAAGATAATCCAAGAAGAAGCATGGCCCGAAATATATAGCGCGTGCTACCTGAATGTACTCTAGTTGAAAAATAAAATTGCTTACCCGGTTAGTTCTATAAATACTGTGGCCGATTCGCATTCTCACTAAAGGCCACAGCACTGACAATAATAACAAAAACGTGCTACCAATGTTCATTCTGGCTGATCACAAATAGGGAGTAAACGACAAAATCTAAGGCACGCAATTCCTTCTTCTCTCTTTCAAGTTATACTGGATTTGAGACGAAATGTATGGTTTTTAAGAACTGTTTCCAGGTTGAATTCCTCATTCTTTCATGAAATGTAAAATTTCCCTTACAGCTTAAGGAAGTTTATCGTTCACGAAAAACAAATTTAGGTGTTACGTGCTTTAGATTTTACTTCCGTGATCGCGTTGGCGTAAAGTTCAAATTCTCAACTTTAAGGGCAGGACAATCGTTTTAGGTATAATACCTCATCAAAATTTATATATATATATATATATATGCAGTATATCTGCTAGTATATATACTTCTACCCTTCCATCACAAAGAAGCTTTTAACAAACTCCCTCAACTTCGCCAAACAATATATTAACATAACGGACCGCGACATTGACATTATTATGCACTCAAGAAAATCGCTACTTTTCAACAACGGCACAGCATGGATAAAGAAAGATAACGGCTCCTTCGACGTTACGATGGGCAGTTACGACGGCGCGGAAGTTTGTGAGCTTGTTGGATTATTCATTCTTAGCGGTTTATGTAACACCTACGGAAAGGAAAGCATTGGACTGTACAGAGACGACGGACTTGCCGTACTCAAGAACACCCCGGGACCACAAGCCGACAGAATTAGAAAGGACATCCTAAACACTTCAAAAACCACGGACCGAACATCACCATTCAAACTAACCTCAAGATTGTCGTCTACCTCGACGTCACATTCACCTCAACCACGGAACATGCTACCCATACAGAAAGCCTAACAACCAGCCTTTATACATCAACGCCAAGTCTAATCACCCTCCTAACATTACCGTGCAGCTACCCGACTCCATTAACCGTAGAATTTCTGACATTACCTGCAACGAAGACGAATTCAACGAAGGAAAGACTATCTATGACACCGCCCTCCAATCAAGTGGATAAACAGAAACTCTATCATACAACAAACACAAACAGACCGCACGACCTAAAAGAAACCGCAAAAGAAACATTATCTGGTACAACCCCCCCTTTCAACAGCAACGTGAAAACCAACATCGGAAGAACCTTTCGAAAACTTGTATCCAAGCACTTCCCTCGACATCACAAATAACACACCCTATTCAACAAAAACAACGTCAAAGTGAGCTACAGTTGCACAGAGAACATGGGAGCCATTATTACCAAACACAACAAGAAAGTACTTTCTAACAACAACACCCACGGCAGCAACAACAGCCTATGCAACTGCAGATCAAAAGGATCTTGCCCACTTGACAATAAATGCCTAACCTCCGGCCTTATTTGTAACGCCCAAGTAACGTCCTCGACAGATAACATTACTACCACCAAGAACTACATCGGCCTGACTGAAGGAACTTTTCAACAGAGATCCACACAGCACAAGGCATCATTCAACCACAGGAAACACTCTAACAGTACTGAACTCTCGAAATACGTCTGGCACCTCAAGGACAACACGATTAACTTTAATATCAAATGGTCTATCATCGCAAGAGCTAGCCCCTACAACAATTCCAGCAAACTATGCGACCTTTGCTTGACTGAAAAGCTTATGATCATCAAACACAGCAACTGCAATCTCTTAAACAAACGTTCTGAACTCATATCCAAGTGCCGACATGAAAACAAATTTTATCCAAGGAACAATTGACGCTATCCTACTACAATAGTCTTTATTATCCTACGCTCTTAGACTTCGCCTCCCATTGTTGTAATCACTGCCTTTCTCACCTAAATATTACGCCTTTCTCACCTATTGTAAATATCACGCCATAATTACCTATTGTTTTTAGCACTTATTGTAAATATGATACATACTAACAGATAGGATTGCTTCTTCATTAAATCTGCCTAATGAGTGCTTAACGCAAGAAACTCAGAGTTGCAGCGAATCATGTGTTTCCTTCTAGTCACTTAATGTTATATATAAATATATATAGATATATACCTATTGTTTTTACCACTTATTGTAAATATATACTAGCAGATAGGATTGCTTCTTCATTAAATCTGCCTAATGAAAGCTTAACGCAAGAAACTCAGAGTTGCAGCGAATCATGTGTTTCCTTCTAGTCACTTAATGTTATATATAAATATATACCTATTGTTTTTATCACTTATTGTAAATATAATATATACTAGCAGATAGGACTGCTTCTTCATTAAATCTGCCTGACGAGTGCTTCACGCACGAAACTCAGAGTTGCAGCGAATCATGTGTGTTTCCTTCTAGTCACTTAATGTTACATATAAATATGTATACCCAGCTCCGCTTTATGCCAAGGTAGGCTCTACCCTCACATTTATAAATAGAGATATATTTGTATATAACATTACCGCTCTACAGAAATGTGTATCGAGCCCTTTTAACAGTGCTGGCTACAATTCACAGTTTATATATATATATATATAAACAGACTAGGAGGAGTCGTGGCTGTAAAAAAGTGCTCGATGCGGGTTGCAGAGCGTTTCAATAGCGGTTATAAAGTAATGACAGGAAGATCGTTTCACCATTACTCTGAGTTTCACACAGCTTGCGCTGCGATCGTCAGACGGTTTATTAGTATGCGATCGTCAGACGGTTTATAAACCGTCTGACGATCGAAGCGCAAGCTGCGTGAAACTCAGAGTAATGGTGAAACGATCTTCCTGTCATTAATTTATAACCGCTATATATATATATATGTACATAAATTATTCAAGTTTGCTCAAATAGTGTGAAATATCATGACAATATTTTATTAATCAATTATAAAAATCCATCCTTATTTACGTCGGTTAATTTGTTAATACTGTTCTTCAGTGATGAGAAATTGTTCTGATATCTAGCGGTAGGCAATTCCACAGGTCTACATTACGATTGAAGACAGAAAACTTAAAAACATCAGTTTTAAATAGGCCTTTCACCAGCGTAGCTTCCCTATTTCTGACGTTATATTTGGGTGTCTTAAAATTTACATGTGACAAAACATTGAAATCAATATAACCTTTCAGGCACTTAAAGAAAAAACAAAGATCCAATATCCCTCTTCTATATTCTGAAGGTAGAAGTTTCAGTTTGACGAGTCTCTCAGGATAACTCAAGTCAGTTTTCAGGATAAATTTAGTTGCAAGTCTTTGTACACGCTCAAGTGCAGTGATCTTTACTTTAGTGTAAAGGTGACCAGACCTGCGAAGCTTACTCCATATTTTTTAATAGATATTTTATAAGACACATAGGCCTCGAAACTAAACCCAAGCTCAAATACAAAAGGAAAGTCAACATTCATGACTAATTTGTCACTAAAACTGAACAAAACTTCTTTAGTATACTTTATCGAGTTTTCGTATCCTTCCTTACCTTAACGCAATTTGAGAAAATAATAATATATACGACTATAGATTAAAGTATCGATAAAACGTTCATTATTTCTCAAATTGCCGGTGCTAGTTTTATGGCGTAAATCATGATTGATCACCATAGCCCCAGGGGAGCTGCTCATGCAGTAGGTGGGTGGACCTGAGCTAACCGCCTCCCGGTTAGCTCAATTGGTTGGAGCGCTGGACTGCTGTGCAGGAGGTCGAGGTCGAGGTCGATGGTTCGAGCCCCGGCCGGACCAACACTCAAGGTCTTAAAATAACTGAGGAGAATGCGCTACCTTTCTTTAATAAGAAATGGATAGACATTCTAGTCTTCTCGGATAAGGGCGAATAAACTGTAGGTCCCATCTCCTGCATCTATTAATTAGTTAATTTGGTTAGGCAGGGGACGTTAAAGAACCCACTCACGAGATTACTGTGATGTGGTCTGGCCTGTTTACTGGGAATTGGGGGGAGGGGGCATCTTCAAATAAGTTTCCTTCGATTGTTTGTAAACTGCTGATGCAGTCCGGCCAAAGTCCCCCGAAAAGTGTTGTGANACTTCTTTACCGAGCTCAAAACTCACCCCCTACCCCCTTTTCTTATTCTATTTACAAAACATGACCATACTGAGACCTATTGACATTGCCGATCCTGGCAGTATGCTAGACACCTGTCGTATGTGAACTTCGCAACAAGCCTTGCTCACCCGAGTCGCTGTAGCTCAGTGGAAGAGCATCGTAGCGCGGAATCTGAAGGTCTGAGGTTCGATTCCTCATAAGGAAGCAGAGGTTTTCTTTGTACTACGCTCGTGATGAGACGAAAAACGTCTTTCTCTATTTTTTACCGAGCTCAAAACTCATCGTCTTTCTCATTCTATTTATCAATGATTGTTTGCCAATAATTGTGATTATGGAAAAAAAGGGGTGTGTAACACCAAATCACGTTCTAAGTTGTTTGCTTGACAGGAAAGCTATATGAGAGAAGTAAAAGCTAGATTAGCCTCACCAACTTTGCCGGCACTGTGATCATCATTATCGTCATCAGTAGGAAGCTTTTCTTTTGTTGTAGAAACTGTTCTTGTTGGTCTGGTTGGGCGCGTTTCAGGAATCGTCACGAGCGCATAAAAGTCCCTCGTTCCATACAAAAACAATGACCAGCTATGAAGAGTGCCTAGAACGTAAAATGAATTTCACTGCTCAACAAAGAGTGTGGGTAAGTCGCCCGTGGTGACAATAAACCTACATCACCGGATAATGAATGAGAGGACTACTATTAGGGTTTCTTTAGACTTCGGTACCTTGTAAACTAACTGGCACTGAAGCACATTAACCCAGCCATAGAAGTTTGACTTCCCTGCTCGCGTCCGCTATCTTTTCCCTTACCCATCGAAAGCTTTATGAAATTCAGTCATTTTAACCAAGAACCTTCCTCTTCGAGACAAGTCCCATCTGGACGATCAGACTACACGATCAATGTTATTGTTCCAAGGCAACTTATAAATTGCAATCTAGCTTGAAGCCTTACATATAAGATTGATTTGTACTGTTGGATAGCAACTTCCACAGCTTATTTGAACTCTGGTTGTTTCTCAATATTGCAGGAACTACAGTGTACTTGTACTTAGCTACTGTGCGGTAGCATCTGCATTTTTAGGATATCTTTACAAACTTTCTCAGTTTGTTCCTCGCCATGAGTAAAGCCAAACAAAGCGCCCATTTTTAATACCATAAACTTGCTTAGGAACACATCACACTGACAGGGTAAAAAAAACCGGAAAAATCCTGAATGAATATGTTTGCATGAATATTTGGGACATAATAGATGGGGTGTAGGGGGCTCTGCAACAAAGATTGCCACTCAAGAATCGGGCTTTTGAGCCACTCAAGAGCCCACCAACACTGATGCGCTGACCATCGCCTCTCCGAGACGAGGATGCCACAAAAAAAAAAAAAAAAAAATAGATCAGCCGAGATGAGCCATTTTGGTTCATTAAAATAAGTGGTAGACATTTGTGTTGAAAATGCAAACAAGGAGTTACACTGCGTACCTGTGCTTCGGTAGTTTGGGTCCAAACCTGACATCCTAAGTTTCCAGGTCCCAAAAGGATTTTCTCCCCATTGAAAAAGAGTTGTTATGACCCAGTTCGTCAAGTTTTGAAATTTCACGTGGTGATCAAATGCACGCCTTCTCGTCAATGGAGATGTTGTATTACTTGGAGCCGTCAACTGGAGAAGTAAATCGCCCCGGTAAAGAAAATCAAGGTCTACTTTTATCTGCACATGTTCCAGGAATTTTATCGGACAGTCCCTCACTGTTATTGAAACTGTATCTGGGATATGCCTGAAAGTAGAAAACAATCTTATTTACGCCAGTAAATCAGAAAATATGTTTCTCTTAAAGGAGAGGTATGCTCCTGAGACCATTCAATTTTGATTCTCATTTAAAAGTATTTACAAAAGTTATCTACTTACTGAGGTTTTGAGATTCTCACGAGCATTTTAACCACTCGAAAATTGTCTGTTGAGACAACCATTCTGAAAACAACATTCTCATCCCGCTGTTTTTAAAGTTGACTGAATAAGCCCTACAATATGGTGGCCTTCCTTCCGTGGAGGACGACCTCTTTTCGATGGCTTGATTATCACGAACACGGTAATGAAGCCATTGAAAACAGAAAAATGCCTACAATAGCCACTTCACCCACTTCGTCCACAATTCATTCTGGTTGAGCGTGCTTTTTTAACGTAGCAAAAGTATAGATTGTGCCAATCAACGATACAAAGTCAATATCGCACTCTTGACAGCGAAAGTGAAGGCTGTGCTGAAGTTTGGATCATGATAACAGCCCTTAATCCTGGTGATTAACTGCGTCGTCTAACAACATGGACTTTGTCTCAGAAAATTAATGCAACGCCGACGAAGACAAAATAGTAATGCATCCAACAGTACAATCTGTGTGGAAAACCCTTGGACTAGTCAAAATGATGATGAACTCGTTCGTCTAAGTTCCACATTTAGTTCCACATTGAAAACTCACTTACTTATCCGTATCTGTGCCTTTGATCTCACATTTCTCCTGCCGAGGTACTCTCGTCCAGTTTTTTGCTAGGCTGACCATCCTGCCAGCGTCCATGAGTCCAAAGCCGTAAACCGGGCTGACAAACAAACCCGCTTTGTTCTCGACCCAATCTCCTTGCTTGAGAGGGGTACCCATCACGCCTGGCGCTCATCTTGCACTGTAAACTATGATATGTTGTACGTCACGCCAAGTTAAATGAGTGCTGAAAAAAATTGCTTTAATGAGCAGCCTGAGACTACTACGTGAATGTCTAAAATACCAACTGAATTAACCACAGTTAACATACATCAGACCAAATACACGAGTACACCATTTGATGGACACATCCCCTGTTGAAATATAGTTCACACTTAACTTATTACGGGTCCATTTGAAATGAGGATTAGATAAAACCTCTTACCCCAAGCCTCTTTTCAAATGATAAAACTTTATTTCATTTTCTTTACGTGCGCACACGGCACAAGATATGTCTCTAGGAACAGTTTCAACCTCATACGCAGACGAAACCAAATCTAATAAGATTCACACCCCTTCTCAAAGGTAAAATTTTAAGGCTGTGGAACTAAATGTATGCCTTTATCTGAGGGCTTGACCACACATCAGTTCGGCTACTCGTTTACGTCAGTATGATTGAGGCTAATCTAAGATAACAGCCTTACTTTGCTTGCAAAGTTAGAGCAATCAGTCCTGAAGCCATAGCGTTGGCCGCTGATGTGCCCCCAAAATTGTTTACACATCCAACTTGAGCATCTATGGTCACCTAATCAATCAATCAATCAATCAATCAATCAATCAATCAATCAATCAATCAATCAATCAATTTATTTAACGTGGTCAGAACGCTTGGCTAAAAGCTGGTTTACAGGTACGCCACGAAATAAAAAGAGAAAAGGAAATTATAAAGCCTTGTGAGGGTATATAACTTAAAAAAAAAAATTGATATTAAGAACTAGCTAATATTAAAATATAAGAATTTAACAATGTAGTCACCGAGTTGAATATATAAAATATAATAATTAAAAACAGGAAATATAATTAAGGATAGATCCTCACCGCAATAGAGTTCCGTGAGATCTAATGTTTTTAAGTAATTTTTAAAAGTAGTAAATGTTAGTATCTTTCGAGACTCGTCCGGTAAAGCGTTCCATAGTTTCGATGCAGCATATCTCCACGATCTTAACCCGAAAGTTGTTGATTTTACTCTTGGGAGGTCCACTATTGTGGTGCCCCTAAGGTTATAAGTGGAGCACCTGACTGTTATAAGATCACGTAAGCTTTTTGGTCCTGCACCACTGGTTAATATCTTAAAGACAGTGTACAATATTTTCGCTAATCGCTGTTCACGAAGACTTGAGAGACCGATACGCTTACAAAGTTCCTCATAAGGCGAGGACTTATCTCTAAAAACAAAACGGAGCGCACGTTTGTTCACCAACCCTAACTTGTCAGCAGACTTCTTATTACAGAAGTGCCACGTTTCGGAGCAGTAATTAAAGTGTGGTAAAATGAAGGCTTTGTAAAGATCCCTTCTAGTCTCAAAAGACCACATTTTCTGCAACCTTTTTAACACAGCCACCTGTTGACTGACTTTTCTACATATTTTGGCCATGTGCTTTTCAAAATTTAATTTATCATCGATTGTCACGCCAAGAAGTTCCATTGTGTTGGATATGGGAAGTTGTGACTCCTCACACTTAAACACTGGTTCATCAGTTCCTTTGTGTTTTCCCAACACCATTGCCTGTTATTTTGAACTGTTCCTCTTCACACCATTACGCGCGAACTATATATCAGCACTACTAAGATCATTGTTGATTGTTTCTTAAATTTTGGAGAGTTGATTGTCGGCGTAAAAGATTTGAGTGTCATCAGCGTAAGTGGACAGAGTGCACTTCTCGATGACACATGAAAGATCGTTCATGAAGATGTTGAATAGTACAGGGCCGAGGATGGATCCCTGTGGTACCATTGCATATAGGTTGCCAATTGGAAAGCGTATCCCCTAGTCTCACTCTTTGGAATCGATTTGATAAATAATCTTTTATCAGGGTTGTTGTTGCTTCGTCTGCTCCATATTCTTTTAATTTCAAAACAATCAGTTCATGAGGTAAGGTGTCAAAGGCCTTGGACAAGTCCATAGAGACCAGACCGATCAATTTAATGTTATCAATTTCTTTTTTCCATTGTTCGGTTAGACTAAGAAGTGCTGAGTCGCAGCCGTGATATTTCCTATAAGCAAACACATATTTGTGATAAAATTTCTTCAAAATACGGGCTTATTCGAAAATGAACAGAATCGTTATCGGCCGATAGTTAGTTTTAAATAGGCTGCAGTCTTTTTTGAGAATTGGAGTGACCTCGCCAAGTTTCCACTGTTGTGGTATCTTAGTTGAAGTTAGAACATGATTAATCAGTGTACTAAGAGGGAAGCATAAAACATCCATCGATTCTTTAACTGCTAGTGGAGGGATCCCATCACATCCAGAAGCCTTGTTTGGAGCAAGTTTCCTCATTACTTCGTAAACTTCTGTTGGATTAGTGTTGCTTAGCGACACATTCGGCTTGCTTATTAAGTTATTTGATATGTGCGATAAATCTGCTGGATAGCCATTTTGATTTTGTTCTTTGGTACTTTGAGTACAGCTTGTGAAGAAATTATTTAATGTCTCGGTCACCTCTTGAGGATTCCTGATGATTTTGTCACCCTCCTTTAATGTTATTCCGCTATTGTCTACATTCTTTCGGGAATTAACATAAGGCTTGATGGCACCCCAAAACTTCTTTTGATCTGCATATTTTTCTGAACACAGCTTCTCAAAATGTCTACGTATAGATTTTCTCCTCATGCTAACTACTTTGTTGCGCACTAGACGGTAGCTCTCCCAATCACACTTATTACGTGATCTATTAAATTTTTTCTTAAGCCGTTTTCGTTCCACCATTACTCTCCGAATTTCAGGAGTGATAAACTTCGATTCTGCTGA